CATTTTTTTGTTTTATTTTCCCAGTAATGGTGACTGGCATTCATCAGTGGCCTCCCCTCTGTATTTCCATCCAGTAATTCCAGACTGGGATTGCTGTCACTCAGGGAAAAATGTTTCTCTTGTACTAGTTCTCAGGTTTGTAGATAATGTGCTTTGCAACCTGACACATTGATACAGCTTCTTCTAGGACCTGCTTCTGTCCCTGGGGAGATGAGTTGAGGTGGGCCCTGGGAGTGTGAGGGGAGGTGGTCGGGTCCTGTTGCTGTTTTCTGTCTGGAATTGATAGATAACCGTGGCCACATCTCTGTGCTTTGTCCCTGCCCAGGTTACTGGGTTCAGCTGCATAAGGTACTGGCCACTCCCACAGAAATACTCACTGTATCAACTCCCAGCTGAAGGGAGAGCCAGTGGCACCCTGATTCCTCCCTTCTCTGAGCTGTGTCTTGCTGGGAGCTCCAGGCTGGGAGCTCCAGGCTGCCTCCCTAGTGTCATCTCAGCTCTTCTCCCCTTCTCATCTCCCTACTTTGCTTCCACTTGCCCACCTGCAGGGGTTTATTTTTTTTTATTTTCATTGAATTTATTGGGGTGACATTAGTTAATAAAATGGTATGAGTTTCAAGGATACAGTTCTATAATACATCAACTGTACTTTGTGTTCACCACCCAAAGCCAGGCCTCCTTCTGTCCCCATTCATCATCACCTCTTTACCATCTGCTACCTGGTTATTACCCTTTCCTTCTGGTAATCACCAAACTTGTCTGTGTTTGTGATTTTTTAATTTATTTAATATCTTTAGATGTTTCAATGTGACATGTTGTGTGTTGAGCAGGGAATTCTTTGTTGAATTATAGCTGTTCAATTTGTTGAAACTTTAAGGAGCGAGCCCATGGGGACCTCATATGCCACTATCCTGACATCCAGTGGTGTCTTTTTTTTTTTTTTTTTTTTTTAACTTTTGGATAAACCACTGCAGACTGACCTGCCATTTGTCATGATGTAATAATTCAGGAAATTATTCAAGATGATTCTTCTTCTCCTCTTCACTTTCCCCTTCCCCTCCCCCTGCCATTTCCCCTTTCCCTTCTACATCTACTTCTACTTCTCCTTCTCTTTCCCCTTCTTCTTCTTCCCTCCCCTTCCCCTTGTTCTTCTTCCCCTTCTTTTTTTTTTAAGAACAGGCTTCTCCTAGAGAGGCATACCATATGCTGCTAGATGGAAATAATTATTAATGAATCCTAATTTAATTTATAAATATAGGCACAGTTCCAGTGGATTAATTTTGGGACAACATGACAAAGATGTTCCAAAATTAATCTGGTGGTATGAGCAAGCAAAAATAGATAAGAATACTAAACAAGTTAATGAGAGAACTTCAACTGCCAGATATCAAAACATATTGTAAATCCACAATCATGTAAATAATATATATATTAGACCAGGTTGATGACACAGCAGAGGCAGTGAAAAGAGAATAATCATATTCATGAGAATTTATGAACTAAAGGCCCAGTGCGTGAAATAGAGCATGACCCCAGACCCACCACGTGGGTGTGACTCCAGAACCACTGTGCCACCAGACCAAGACCCACCACACCAAGAAACCCATCAATGTACCACCTGGAGACTGTGTCGTTTGGTCGTTACAGTGTTATGGCCATTGGCCTCCAATAATATAGATCATTGGCAGATAAGGATGGAATAGTTGATAAATGATTTGGGAACAAGGCTATGTGGGGGAAAGTACAGTTAGAGTCTTATGCCATATACCAAAATACAATTTAGATTGGTTAGAAAATAAAAAATGTAAATAAGTAAAAAGTTAAAACCCTAAAAGCGAATAAAAATGTGCTATAAATTTTTATAAACATAATACCAAAAATCAGAAACTTAGAATCTCTTAGTTTTTGACCATTTACATACTACAACTTTAAAATAAACAAACAAACCTAAATTTTCTTGTTATAAGTTTGGGTCTTATATCTTTCAGAACATTTTAAAGTGTAGACTAAGACTCTCCCAGGGTTCTGTTCAAACTTTAACAGGACGTGGCAGAACAGTGGGAGGAAAGGGAGAAAGAGAGGTGGGAGGGCGGGTAGCCTGTTGAACAGTGGAGCAACACCTCATCTGGCTTGGCCTTGCTGCCTCCTTTAACAGCGCCATCTTATTATAAGGGCAGTTGAAATATAATAGAAGGGAAAAGAACATGGGAAAGATTTGGCCAGGATACTGCATTTGAATGTGCTCCCAGGTAGTGGCCCACTTATGGCTAATACATTAGAATTTCTAGGTAGATTCTTTCTCACACATGTTTCTCTCTCCAAATTGTTTTTTTGTTTGTTTGTTTTCTTTTGTTTTGCTTTTCCCAGATTCTGTTGGAAAGCAGTACAGTTCCTAAGTAATGCTTTGTAGGATATATTTCATTGGAAAGCTTTCCTGAAAGTTCTCATTAGAAAGAGAAGGCAAGCAGGAGTAATGTTTCTCAAAGAAAAAGGACACGGAGAAATTTAATGATTTCCTCCTTAATGTGTTTTTTTGTTTTGTTTTGGCTTTTGTTTTGGTGCTAGAGACAGAAATAGGCAGCAGTGGAATTGTTAGGTCAGAGGTTGTGTGTATTTGGACTTTTAATAGATGTTGTTAAACTGCCCTCAGTAGAGATGGTACCCACCTCTGGGCCCCCAATAATGTCAGAGAATGTATTTCTCTCCCCACTTTGACTAGCACACTGTGCACACATTTTGGTATATTTCAGTCTGATAGAGCGTCTTGGTGAAGTAATAATTTGCATTCAGTTATCATGACTAAGACTGAGCATTGTTCAACCTGTTTAAGAGTCACCTGAATTTCCTACTCTGGGAATACGAGAACATTTATAGATGAAATAGACCTTTAAGGTGAAGTCCAGCTGCTCAGCCTACAAATGAGGAAGCTTTTGGCCATGGTCAGCTCGCTAGTCTTTGACTGAAGCAGAACCAAACACACCAGGGCTCCTAGTTATTATAAAAGCTCTTCAGGTGACAGTAAGGATTTGTAACGGTCTCTGTGGCTGTCTGGGGTTTGTTTCTAGAATTAGAAAGTCAGGAAATTACAGTGCAATGTCACAATGCCTTGACTGTAGAGACAAGTGTTTTTAGCCACCCTGAACTTCAGGCACCTCATCTGTAAAATGGAATTAATAGTAGGTTTGTTTTTTTTTCAAGATCTCAAGGATTAGGGTCAATATATATAAAGTATCTGACACAAGTAGATTCACCACTATTAACACCTTCCTCATATTTTGGGTTTTTTTGTTTCTTTAAATTAACACAGAACAGTTTTTATGTTTTTATTTTTATTGATTTTGGAGAGAGGAAGGGGAAGGGATAGAGAGTTAGAAACATTGATCCTACTGGGAATTGAGCCCACAACAGAACCAGTTTGACCAGAACCAGTTTGGCTCAGTGGATAAAGCTCTGGCCCACAGATCACCCCCAACTGCCCTCCCCTGCAGGCCTGGTTGCCCCTAACTGCCCTCCCCTGCTGGCTTGATTGCCAACAACTGCCAGCCATCTTGTGGCAGCCATATTTGATCACATGGGGGCATTTTGTGCAAGGGCATAAGGGTCAATTTTCATATTACCTCTTTATTATAGAGGATAAGTCCTCTGGAACTCAGCTAGGAGAGGAAAATGTATGTATTTCTTATTGCCTTGCTTGTCCCCATAAAACATCCTATCTAACAAAGAGGTAATATGCTAATTGACCATCACTCCATCACAAAGATGGCTGCACCCATAGCTGAGGCCAAGTTCCCATAAGGAGCCTTAACAAGCAATCATCAGGGACCTGAGGCTATGTCCTCTCCCACTCGGCAGGGCTTGACAGGGGACCTCAGGCCATACCTCCACCCTGGTATCATGCTGGGGGACCTCAGGATGCACCCCCTGCTCCAGGGCCAGATCAGGGGGCCTGAGGCCACGCCCACCCATCTGGCAGGACTTGATGGGGGACCTTAAGGTGTGCTTCCCATCCTTGTGTTGGGCTAGGGGATCCCAGGCTTCTCCCCCCACCCCAGTGCCAGGCCAGGGGTCTCAGACCACAGCCCCCGCCTGGCAGGGCTTGACAGAGGACCTGAAGCTGTGCCCCCCACCCAGCAGGGCTTGACAGGGTATCTCAGGCCATGTTACCCACCTGGCAGGGCTTGATGGAGGACCTCAAGGCACACTCCCTGGCCTTGTCTGGGCTGGGGGACCTCAGGCCACGCCCCTGTCCTGGCACCAGGCCATGGTACCTGAGGCTATGCCCCCTTCCCAGCAGGGCTTGACAAGGGTGGGACTGGCCAGGTTTGGATCTGGCCCAATGGCAGTGGGGGACAGGGGGGAATGGCCAGGACTGGGTCTCACGCAATTTTGAGGTGCATGTGGGTGGGTGGGGACTTGATTCTGGGTCCTGTGGTGTGCCACAGACTCTTACAGGAGGAAGTTTTTCATATATATTTTACTAATTTTCTTTCATCTCTGACACTTCTATTATAAAGAAAGGGCAAATAGCAATATTAAATTATTTCCTTTAATTAATCCCCTTTTAATATGCACGGATTTTGTGCACCGCGTCACTAGTGGTTATATACAAAGCTATCCTCTCTGAGCACCAGCTTTTGGAAGTGCATCATCCGTTCAAATACAAAGAACTGTGATATTCACAGCTATATTCCAGTGTAGGGAATAGACTTTGGGGATTGGAAATGGTCTTTTTTATAGAAACATCACTGGCATGATCTCCCAGGGAAGTTAGCCACGACCAGCCTCAGAATCATACACTGGTCTAGGTACCCATGCTGGAGGGCACAAGGTAGTAAAGGCATTTGGGGAGTATGTGGTCAACAGGACAGGAAATAGTAGAGAAGAAAGTGGGACTGGCCAAGTGGAGCATCTGCATGGAGTTTGGGGCAGGTGCTTCCAGGTTTATGAACTTCTACTTTTTTTGTTTGTTTGTTTTCACAGCCACTGAAGAAGAGACCAAGATGAATGCAGAGGTGAGTTCTTTAAAATTGCCAGTTTAAAGAATGCTTTTCTTGCAGTGGGTTCCTCATTTTTCCTTCACAAAGTGTCTTCTCTCCTTACAGAGTTTTCAGAAACATCAGCACAAACCTGAAAACATTTCCTCTCCAACATGGCTCTGAGTGGTATGGGAATAATTAGGCCCTCCTGCATTCTGTTTTCTTAAATTGCTTTTTAGAGATAGGAAGCGGGGAGAGCAAGAGAATGAAACATTGATGTTAGAGAGAAACCTCAATCTGTTGCCTCCTACATGCATCCTGACTAAGAATACAATTCACAACCTGAATATGTGCCTGGATATCAAACCCGCCACTTTTTGGTATAGGGAATGGCACTTCAATCAACTGGATGCTTTGAGTCTTTTAAGGACTCTGACTAATTCATCTAAATTGTTGAATTTCTAGCTATAAAGGTATTAATAATAGTTTCATATTACTCGTTAAATATTTGTTGATTCTTGGTAGTGTCCTTTTCCTCACCAAAGGATCAAGTGTCCAATTTGATGGTCAAGGGCACCTACCTAGGTTTCAGATTCAATCCTGGTCCCTATCAGGGTACATACAGGAGGCAACCAGTCAATGTGTCAACGTGTCTCACATCAATGTCTCTCAGTTGGTTGAACGGACAACTGGATGACCAGACACTTAGCATATTAGGCTTTTATTATAATATATAGGATTTGGATTACCCATGTAAGTGCAATCATATAGAATTTGTCTTTCTCTGACTTGTTTCACTTAGCATAATACCCTCTAAATCCATTAATGCTGTTGCAAATAAGATTTCATTCTTTTTATAGCCTATCAGTACTCCATCATGTATATGTACCTCAATTTTTTTATTCACTCATCTATTGATAGGCACATGGGTTGCTTTCATATAATGACTATTGCAAATAATGCTTCGATGAAAATGGGGTTTCATATATTCTTTTGAATTAGTGTTTTGGGTTTCTTTTGATATATACCCAGAAGTGGAATTACCATGTCATAATGCAATTTCATTTTGAATTTTTTGAGGAATTGCTACACGGTTTTACATAGTGGTTGCACCAGTCTGCATTTGCACCAATAGTGCAATAGGGTTTTCTTTTCTCCATATCACCACCAACACTTGTTGCTTATTGATTTATTGATGACAGCCCTACTGATAGGTATGAGATGGTATTGCATTGTGGTGTTGATTTAAATTTCTCTGACAATTAGTGATGTTGAACATATTTTCATATGCCTGTTGGCTAGCAGTATGTTCTCTTTGGAGAAGTGTCTATTCAGATTTCCATTTTTTAATTGGATTGTGTATTGTTGTTTTTTTGGTGTTCTGTTGTATCAGTTCTTTACATTTTTTGATACTAACTCCTTGATAGAGTTGTTGTTTGCAACTATCTTCTTCCATTTGGTTGATTGCCTTTTTGTTTTGTGGGCAGCTCCATTTGCTGAACAGAAGCTTGTTAGTTTAATATGGTCCCATTCATTTATTTTTGCTTTACTTTCTCTTGGGTCAAATTCATAACATTCTCTTTAAGACCAAGGTCCATACGTTTAGTACCTATGTTTTCTTCTATGGAATTTATTTTTTCAGGTCTTAAATTTAAGTCTTTGATCCATTTTGAGTTAATTTTGTAAATGGGAACAAATAGTATTCTAGTTTCATTCTTTGCATGTTACTTTCCAATTTTTTTTAGCATCACATATTGAACAGGCTTTTTCTTTCCCAATGTATTGTTTTTGGCTCCTTTGTCAAAAGTTATTTGCCCATATGTATGTTAGTTTATTTCTAGGCTCTCAATTCTGTTCCATTGTTCTGTGTGTCTGGTTTCTTGCCAATACCATGCTGTTTTGATTATTGTCACTCCGTAGTATAATTTGAAGTCAAGGAATTTGATACACCTAGTTTTGCTCTTTTCTTAGGATTGCTTTGTCTATTTGGAGTCTTTTGTAGTTTTATACAAACCTGATAATTTTTTTTATCTACTCCTTTTAAAAATGCCACTAGGTTTTTATGAAGATTGTATTAGCTTTGTATATTGCATTGCAGAATGAAAGGTTAAAGTCAGTGGTGTGCAGGCAAGGCTAAATAGCCATCTCAGACAGTGATTAAAGAAAATTTAAATGTATTTAAATAAAAAGGAAATGGGGGATGGAGGTATCCAAAGGGATGGGTTACACAGTACTGAGCCAAAGGGTGGCAGCAAAAATATTCTTAGGGCAGTGACACAAGGATGGGCATAGAAGAAGCAACAGGAGAGCCGAGGCTGGGCTGCTTTGGCTTACTGAGAAGTCAGAGAAAAGGGGGCCTTGGAGACAGGTTCAGGGGGTTACCATGGGATGAGCTGCTGCCACCCATTGCTCCCTGGTTGCAAGTCTCATGGGGTCTCTTAGAGTTTAGGGGACACATGCCTGGTGGGAGAGGGGGAGCAGAAGGAGAAGGAAATGACACTGGTGGGCTCCTTGGAGGGAGAGCAGGCACTGGTCCTTTGTCCTAAAAGTGTATTTATCTCTTTCTTGCAGGTGGAAATCTTAGGGAAGGTCTCAGGGGAGGGTCTTAATAGACTATTCATCATGTTTCCAGGTGTGTTCTTTCAGGGTCCTGGTCTCCTCTAGTTGGTTGGTGCCAGGGCATAGGGTCATTTGTTTAATTTTTCTTTATTTCCATTGCCCTAGGAGATATATTGGCAAAAATATTGCTATGAGAGATGTCTGAGATTTTACTACCTATGTTTTCTTCTAGGATTTTTATGGTTTCCTGACTTATATCCATTTCGAGTTTATTCTTGTATATGGTATATATTGGTGGTTTAGTTTCGTTTTCTTGCATGCACCTGTTCAAATTTCCCAATGTTATTTATTGAAGAGACTGTCTTTACTTCATTGTATGCTCTTAGCTTCTTCATCAAATATTAATTGTCCAAAGCGGCATGGGTATATTTCTGGGTTCTCTGTTCTCTCCATTGACCTATATACTTGTACTTATACCAATACCAGGCTGTTTGATTACAGTGTTTTGTAGTGTAGTTTAATATCACGTCTTTTGATTTCACCAACTTTTGTTTTTTCTCAAGATTGTTGCAGCCCTTTTGGGATATTCCATACACATTTTTTTGGAATATTTGACCTAGACCTGTGAAATATGCCATTGGTAGTTTAATAGGAATTGCGTTGAACTCTGGACTGTTTTCAAACCCCACCTTGGTTTCCTGTGTTTTAGCCTGAGAAGAAGTTTGGCGTGGTGGTGGTGGGCGTTGGCAGAGCCGGCTCTGTGCGGATGCGAGACTTGCGGAGTCCACATGCTTCCTCAGCATTCCTGAGCCTGATTGGCTTCGTGTCCAGGTGGCTCACACTTGCTTTGCACCTTGTAATCCATGGGGAGCCCAGTGGGATGGAGAAGGCCTTGGGACACGTAGATTCTCCTGACCCAGGAGAGAAAATCAGTTCCACAGTTATTCCAGAAAACTTTGCTCAGCGTTAGTCCCACAAGATCTCAAGTTCAGATAGGTCTGGAACTGAAGCATGCTGGGATTAGCAGTGAACCAGCCTTGAAGGGACTAAAAGGTAAAGGAGGGGAGATGAGCACAGGGCCTGGAGTCACCCAACGGGCACAGGGAACACAGGGAGGGCTGGCCTGAAAGAAGGCTTTAGGTTGCAGCAGTTAATCATTACATCACTTACCCATGCAGTAGCTCCGAGCTTTATGAGCCTTACCGACCATTTGACATAGGTACCGTTATCATTACCAACCCCATCTTAAAGAAACAGCCACCTTTCAAAAGGTTGGGTCATTTGCCTGAGGTCACACAGCTGGAAAGTCTGGAAAGTCTGGGTTTGTAGGTCTATTTGATTCCAAGGCCCATCTTTAAATACCATGTGTTCTTTTTTCCTTTGATAATTTTGAGTCCCACTTTTTGGGGGGCTTCATTTCTGTCCTGTAACCAAACAAAATCAAACTTACCACCATTTGTATTATTTATTGCCCCATGTTCAGCTCTTTTCTCCATACCTCACTACTTCTTGCACATATACTGCTCACCAAGCTAATGCTATGTAATATCATTTATCAATATTAATTGTGAACTAGCTGCAGGCATTGTGTTGGCTGAGGAAATGTGATGGTGAGTAAGGTAGGCATGTCTACTTTCTAGTGGTTTAGAGAAATCAAATAAATATGTTTAGAAAGCATAATTAATTATTTGATAGTCCATGCAGATTCTTTTATTTGTTTGTTTATTTAAATATATATTTTTATTGATTTTAGATAGGAAGGGAAGGGGGAGAGAGAGATAGAAACATCAGTGAAGAGAGACAATCACTGATTTGTTGCCTCCTGGATACTCCCTACTGGGGATTGAGCCTGAAACTTGGGCATGTGCCTTTGGCTGGAATCGAACCCAGGACCCTTCAGTCCATAGGCCGATGTTCTATCCCCTAAGCCAAACCAGCTAGGGCCATGTACATTCTTTTAATATTTTAATTTATGGTGCTTACTTTCTTCCAGTTTGCTTATCTCAAAATTTGGCTATTCCTTTAAATATTTAAAGTGGACTCTGGGCCGGGACTGGTTTGGCTCAATGGAAAGAGCGTCGGCTTGGGGACTGAAAGGTCCCGGGTTCGAATCCGGTCAAGGGCATGTACCTTGGTTGCAGGCATATCCCCAGTGGGGGGTGTGCAAGAGGCAGCTGATCGATGACTCTATCTCATCGATGTTTCTAGCTCTTTATCTCTCTCCCTTCCTCTCTGTATAAAATCAATAAAATATATTAAAAAAAATAAATAAATAAAGTGGACTCTGGGTCACTAGGGTGACTCAGAAGCGCTGGGAATGTGCCCATGGTCAAGCCTCCCCTCCCAGTAAGACGCTAAGAGAGCTGCATACAAATGGATATCTTTAGCCATACTGTAACTCCCACTGCGCCCCTGTTGGAAGCGCTCATTGAGCATGAGGACGTGAAGCTTCTCCTTTTAGCTTACGCCCCAGTCCCTCTGCCAACCGGCTGCCATGGCTGAGGCAGTGGGAATTACTAAAGAACCCAGGCTGTGTGGGAAGATGGCCAGCTCAGACCCACTGCTTACTGCTCCTTTGCCATTGTCACGCTTTTCCCCTGCTCACATTCCCTGTTCCTCACGGTCTGTCTGCTTAGTCCTACCTTCTCCCCGGGAAGCCTTTTCTGGAACCCTAAACTTGGTGTTTCCTGCCCTCCTTCTGTCTCCCACATGTACTCCAGCACGTTTCTCATGTTAGTCTTGTGTTGTTGTTATTGATGTGATTGATGTGTGAGTGTGACTTCCTCTCTCTACAAGACTGTGAGCTCAATAGAAGCTGAGGACTTTTAGTTTATTCTTTATGATCCTCCCCATGGTGGCTAGCACAAAGTAGACAAACAATAAATATTGGTCAAATTGAGCAGTGGAGATTGGGTAGCCCCCATAGGACAAAACCTACCATAATCTCTTCTGGCAGCCAAAACTTGCCCAAATGCCCTCTGCCTGCTGCAGCTTAAGTGGAGCTCAGCGATGGATGGGAGCCTTCTGCTGGCCGCCCCCTCTCCTCTTACATCCGTCATCAGAGGACTGCTCTATTGCTCCAGCCTCTGCACGAGGGTAGCGTGCAGAATGCCAGGGTCCTCAGATCTTCTAAGTAAGGAGTTTCTTCTTACCCTGTAAGAGTCAAAAGGCTTAGGGTTCCTGTCCTGCTTCTGCTTCCCATTAGCCATGGCAGCTACCGCTCCTCTGGGCTTTGTCAGCTCAGACAAAGGAGGCAGTGTCACCTGCCTTCCACTGGCCATCACAAGGCCACTGATGGTTGTGAAGGAGCTTGAAGTCACACAGCAATGTGCACCTCTACGGTGTTAGTATATTGGATTTGAGTTAGGTTTCGTAGCCATAGTGTTTGGCCAGGTACTTGGAGCTGGCAGTGACTGTAGGGATTATTCTTCTTGAGGAAAAAGACCAATTCTTTTTTATTTTAGATATTAAGTGATTCAAAGACTTCCACATCACACTGGTTGTTAGCAGTAGTATCAGCACTCAATGCCCGGTCCCCTGACTTCAAACCTGAGGCTGTTTTCACTCCATCACGGAAAATGCCCTGAAGTGTGTGTGTGTGTGGGGGGTGGGGGGGAGTTATTTTTTTCACTTCCTAAAGATGATCATCAAGACATTTTCGGGAGGAGGGGAGAAAGATGATGCTCATTTATTCTAAGTCGATGTGTCTACTTTTAAGTTCCATTCCTGTTACTTTCAAACAGACGTGAGCTCAAGTGCATTGAGGAAGTCCAGCAGATTTCTTTGGAAGACGCCCTTTCTAGCCAAGAGGTTGACATTGCTTATATCTGCAGTGAGAACACCAGCCATGAGGACTACATCAGGTGGGTTTCAGTGCAGGCAGCCCTTGCCTTGCACGGTAGTGCAGGACTATCAAAGTGACTGGGCAAGCTGAAGTCTCACCAATGGGTCTTAAAAGTCAATGGGGAAAATTACAATGGATCCATCACCTTTAAAAAATGTTTTTTGGGGGATGAGTTGGGTGAAGGAGAGCAAAGAGAGGAAAATGGAGGATATTTGTAATAATATCAACAATGAAAAGATGGTAAAAACTTTCCTATTGGTTATAAATGTATAAGGAAATAAAAATTATAGTAAAGTTAATACTTCTTTAGTCTACTATCATTTAAAACATTAGAAATATTAAGGATGAAAGTGTTAAGTTTCTTTGTAAAAAATTTATTGAGAGTAATTTGAATAGTGTTTGCCTTTTTCTCATCATATAACTTAGGATATAGAGCCAGCATCTTTTCCATGCCTTAGTGAATTGTCATCGTTTTTCTAAGTTTGGATAAGCTTCAAACATTTTATCCTTTGCACTTTCAACATGTGAAATATTTCTGAGAGCTCCTTTACTATGAAGTTCTGCCATGAGATAAATAAGGAAGTAGTAGTGGCTTCAGAGCGGGGAGATGACTGTTTATAAAGCAAGAGAAGCGAGGTGTCCCCTGCCCCACCTTTGAGTGAAAAACCTAGAACAGTGTTCTCATCCTGTGGGTCATGACCCCTTTGGTGGTCGAACGACCCTTTCACAGGGGTCGCCTAAGACATCCTGCATATCAGATATTTACATTACGATTCATAACAGTAGCAAAATTACAGTTATGAAGTAGCAACAAAAGTAATTTTATGGTTGGGGTCACCGCAACATGAGGAACTGTATTAAAGGGGCGGGGCATTAGGAAGGTTGAGAACCACTGGCCTAGAGGCTTCAGGCACTAGGTGGGATTGAGCCTAGAAGGTGGAGCTCAGGTAGGACGTAGCCGGCTGTCTCTCTGCATCTCAGCTTCCCTTCCAGGTCCTTACGTTGAACTGCATCTGCTGCTCCCAGGAGCAGGATGCTCCCTCTTTACCAGCCGATTGTTGTGTGGACAGAGTGTGATTAGGAAAACCTTTCTTTGGTTTTTCTTAACCTTTTTTGGTACCAGAGTGGTGTTTTCTTTAAAAAAAAAAAAAAAAAGTGACCATTTAATTATATGCTTATACAGTTGACCTTTGAACAACACAGGTTTAAAATGCACAGGTCCACTGACATGTAGATATTTTTCAATAAATACATTTAAAGGTTTTTTTTTTTTGAGATTTGAGATAATTTGAAAAAATTTGTAGACAAGCTATGTAGCCTAGAAAATATCAAAAACTTTAATAAAAAGTTAGGTATGTCATGAATGCATAAAATACATATAGATAGTAGTCTAGCTTATCATTTACTACCTTTGCATATACACACATCCTATATAATAAAGAGCTAATATGCTAATTAGACCAAACATCAGAACGATTGTCCAGATGATATTCCGGATGAAGGTGGTGAGCTGCCAAGGCTGCGAGGGGCTGCGAGGGCCACGCCCCTTGCATGAATTTCATGCATTGGGCCTCTAGTCTATTATAAAAAGCCAAAATTTATCCAAACTTACTCACACAGCACAATTGTAAATGGTACTATTCTCAGTTTGGAGAAATGTAGAAAAATGTGATGAATAACTGAATACAATTAACTGTGGAACATACTAGATTACTATAATAATTTTGTAGCCACTTCCTATTGTTTTTACCATGTGCTCAAGTATTTCACGTATCCATTTAAAATGCCACATGACACTGATCATCTCATGCTGAGCTACTCGTCTCTCTGGCAAATCGCCTGTCACAGTGAAAAGTGGTGCCTTGCAGATTTTGTGTATGTTTCGTTGTGTTTAGTATGAATCTGCAAACCTTGAATGAGACCATGTGACCCATAGGAAATGCCACTGGTGATGCTGGAGGGCTCCCAAGAAGCTGAGGAAAGACATGGCATTACAGGACAAAGTTGAATTGCTTGGTGTGTACCTCAGATGGAAGTCTGCAGCTGCAGTTGCCCGCCATGTCAAGATAAATGAGTCGGTATAAAGAAAACGTGTGTTTTGAGAAAAGAGAACTGTGACGCTATTGCAGCAGACACAAAAACCTTGCACTTTTTTTCTGAAATACCATTTTACCTTGAATTGAAGGGACAGGATTCTTATAAGAAAGGACAGGACCAACTGGCACTTTGGCCAACAGATCAAGACAAGAGCCCCTTCTGTGAGGCTTGCAGCAGCGGTGCCCTGGGAGGGAGGAAGGGGACTGCACTCCTCCCCTTAACTCTGTGTGCATGCCTGATGGAGCCTGGACTGGAGCCTCTGAGAGGGAAGCTCTCCAAATATCCCAGCTCTGAAATGAGCTACTTCCCTTCCTCCACCCAAAGAAACCCCGTCCAGCAGGACAGGGCCAGTGGGACTTGGAGGAGCAGATCAAGGCAGTCCTTCACTGTAGGTTGTGTCGGTGTGAGCTCCTCAGCCAGCCACTTGACCCTTCTCAGGGAGGGAAATCGGAAAAACAGGCGTGTACAGGCAGGCAAAGGGGACATGATTCATTCCACACCAAAGCAGCCATCACAGGCTGGTCAGTGACAGCTGATTCACATGCTCAGACAGGTCCAAACAAAGAAGGCACTTTTCCAAACAATAACATCAGCATTTTGCTACAGAAAGGCGCGCTGCTCAGTGTGAGGCCTGCAGCGACCTTGCAGCTACATAAAGAATCTGACCTGAGCTCCCCCGATTAGCTCATTGTTAAAGCAGCCTTAAATCAGCCAGTGTTTACTTAGCCAGGGCCCTCAGGATGGGAGTGAGCTAAATGCCTCCCCCTAACTCCACAGCAGGCCACCAAAGCCCCTGGGAGGTGTCTTCAAAGGGGTTGTGCTGGAGGTCCCACATCTCAGCAGTGCCTCCTTCCCCCTGTGGGACTGAGCTCAGCAGGACGGGTGTTTGTAGAATTAAGGCAGCTCAGGTCCACAGAAAGGGAGCGAGCTGCAGACCTCCCCTTAGCTCTGCAGCCATGCCACCAGAGACCCTGGCAAGGGAGTCTTCTGTTGGGGTGGTGCCTGTCCAGCCTGCAGAAGGGGGGGGAAGTTTGGCCCCTGTTCCAAAGTTGCACAGTTAAATGACCACCTGAGAGTCAGCCTATAGATTCTCCAGAAAAAGAGTGCTCCTCAGGTTCCTGTTGGGTGCAGCTAACGGTTCCTTCTGCCAAACTCGAGCTTGGCAGGGTGGTGTCACCAGTATTTGGAGGATGGGGTTAGTGCACCTCTGCTCCCCACGCACCCCCTAACCCCCCGCACCTGGTGCTATAAGGAGTGTCCAAACGTGGAAGATGGCTCCTGAGGGCAATGTGGGATGCTGCCTCAGGACCAGGACCTCAGAGGTTAACCTTCAGATATCTCTCCAGAGCCACACCAACCAGATCTTCTCTTATGGCTTCCGTATGCCTGAGACTCCTTCCCTCAACCAGAACCCGGGTTAGTGCCCGAGAGCCAGCTCCTGTGTTTTGGCCTTTTAGGAGAGCTCCTGGGGTTCTAGAAGACTCTCTACTCTTTCCAGGAGATGGATTCCACACTGATTTTTGCTGCCAGATGCTATTCAGGCTCTTCTTCCTTCTCTTGGTGCTATACATTGGGGGTCTTGAGACCCCAAGTCCTCAGAAACGACTTTTGCAGCTGCGCTATCCCTCCGACTACTCAGCTGGTGCCCCTGGGTGCAGGTGACAGCCCTCTCCATGTATCTGCCCTTCTTGCCTGTCTCTGTGTAGCTTCTTCTATAAATTCTTGGATATAATACTCCTGTTCAGCTCTCTTTCCGTTGGTCCTTCAGGTCGATTGCTCCACAATTTAGCTGTAAATCTGGGTTGGCGTTGTGTGTAGAGGTGTGTGTAGCTTGCACCTGTTCCGCAGGCATCTTGGATCCTGACCAGGCTTCCTTTTGCTCCACAACCTCTCCAGCCCAAGTTATTACCTGTTTTGTTGATAACAGGTGTGAGGTGCTATGTCATTGTAGATTTGCTTATCATTTCCCTAACAGCTAGCGAAGTTGAGCATCTTTTCATATATCTCTTTGCCATTTGTCTGTCTTCTTGGGAGAAAAGTCTGTTCAGGTCCTCTGCATGTATGTTTAAGATATTTCTCACTCTTCATGCCTTTATTTATTTTTATTTTTAAAATCTTTATTGTTGAGAGTATTACAGATGTCCCCCTTTTTCCCTCCATTGTCCCCCTCCACCCCAGGCCTTCACCATCTTACTGTCTGTGTCCGTAGGTAAGACCTTTAGTTAACATCTTCCCATCCCTTCTCCCCTTCTAACCTAATGGGCTTGCCTTTATAGCTTAATTTCTTCTTTTACCTGGCTTCATTGATAATTTATTCTTTGTCATTAGTTTTTAACAGTTTTAATACTATATGCCTTGAAGGTATTTTGGACTGAGGTAATTAGGTGTTCTCTTTGCTTCTTAAATTTGAGGATCTAGCTCTTTCCGTAGGTTTGGGAATTTCTTGTTAAATCTTTGACTTGGCTCTCTGTTCCCTTCTCCCTTTCTTCTTCTAGTATGCTTATTATTGTTGTACTAGTGGCCCAGTGCACAAAATTCATACACTCAGCTTGCAACCTTTCCAATCGGGGACCCCTTGGGAGATGTCTGACTGCCCTCTTGAAATCTGGGATTTTGGTTCCTAATTGCTCAGCTGCCTGCATGCCTGATCACCCCTAACTGCCCTCTCTTGCCAGCCTGATATTGCCCCCAACTGCTCTTTGCTGACAGTCTGATCTTGTCCCCAACAGCCCTCCCTTGCCGACCTGATCTCGCCCCTAACTGCTTTCCCCTTCCGGCCTGATCTCACCCACAACTGCCCTCCTGTCGGCCTGATCTGCCACTCCCCTCCCCCAACTGCCTTCCCCTGACAGCTTGGTTGCCCCCAACTGCCCTTCCCTGTGGCCTGATCTTGCCCCCAACTGCCTTCCCCTGTCGGTCTGATCACCCCTAACTGCCTCTGCTTTGGCCCCCACCACCATGACTTTGTCTGGAAGGAAGTCAGACGTCCGGTCTAATTAGCATATTCCTGGTCAACCTTGTCTAATTAGCCTATTACCCTTTTATTAGTATATATTGCTCTTTCTGATAGAGTAAGATAGTTCTCCTACAGTTTTTTTTCTTCTTTTTTTTTCTTCTTAAATCTCTTTCTTCTCTCTGCATCATTTCTAGATTTCTACCTTTTATATCCTTTATCTTTTCCTCCATTCGGTCTGCTCTATTTTCTATGCTTGTTTTTTGTTTTAAAGTTTTAATCTCTTTTGATAAAGTGCTCATTTTGTTCATTGATTTGTTTTCTGAGCTCATTAATCTGCATATCTGTATTTTTTGCATCTCATTGAGGTTTTTCAGAAATGAAATATTGAGTTCTTTGTCCTTTAAATCATATATTTCCATGTCTTTCAGTTTGTTTCCTGGAAATTGTTCATTTTCTTTCCATGCTGTCTTGTTACTTTAGTTATTGATGGCATTTGATGGATTTCTTCTCTGACTAGGCATCTGTGTATGAGTGGCCTTTGTCCAGTAGATTGATATGAAGAAGTCTTCCTATTATTTTCCAGTAGGTAGCACTAATTCACGAGTTTTTTAGGTCTCTTGCACTTCTCTGGCTTTTCAGATCTCCATGTATGGTGGAGAATGGGATATGGGTGCCTCCCTTGTGATCCGATCATCCCAATCCCAGGCTACCAACCCTGCAGGGGAATACAGTGGGCAGTGGGGCTCCAAATCTGTGAAATCCCTGTGCTGTTTTTCACAGCTGGACACTGCCACCTGGGTAATTGCAGTGGATGGGGCATGTTGTTCTGGGGCAACGGTTCTCAACCTATGAATTGCGATCCCTTTGGGGGTCCAACGACCCTTTCATAGGAAATCACAGATATTTACATTACGATTCATAACAGTAGCAGAATTACAGTTATGAGGTAGCAATGAAAATAATGTTATGGTTGGGGGTCACCACAACATGATGAACTGTAGCAAAGGGCCATGGCGTTAGGAAGGTGGAGAACCACTGTTCTGGGGTAACCTGTCTGCCTTTTAAGTTGCTTTGCCCCACTGGTAATGGCTACCTTGGACCTTTGTGGAGTCTCCTTTGTGCCCCTGATTCCAGGACCAGTCACAGAGCCCATCCTTTGCTCAGGGAAAAAGTGTTTCTGTGGTACCAGTTCTTGGGTTTGCAGATAATGTGCTCTACAACCCACCCCCATGGACAAAGGGAGGCAAGCTCTAGGAGTCTTCAGGATGGCCGTGCTCTGTGGTTTTGTTTCTCTGTCCGGATGCTGACAGCCATGTAACCATGGCTGCACCTCTATGCTGTGTACCTGCTCAGGTATCTGGGCTCAGCCACAGCTCAGACTGCCTCCCCCCAATTTTTTTCCTCCCCCAGCTGAAAGGAGTTTCAGCCACAACCCAATTTCTCCCCTTTCTGGACTGAGCCCCAAGTTGAGTTCCCCAGCTGTAAGGCTGTGTCTGTGGCTCAGCTCAGCACCTTTTCCTCCCTGGTTTGCTCTCACTTGCCCCCCTTAAATGTCTCAATATATGACCTCTCAGGTGTATTTGTGCGTTGAACAGGGAATCTTTGGTTAAATTATAGCTGTTCAAATAGTTTAAACTTCAAAGGGTCATCTCTCATGCCGCCATTCTTCTGATGTCATTCAACATTTTTTTTTCTCTAGCTATTGCATTATAAGAATACAAATAACATGCAAAATATGTGGAAATAAACTATTTATATTGTTGATACAGCTTCCAGTCAAAGTTAGGCTAAGAGCAGTTAGGTTTGGGGGGAGTCAAAGTTATATGCAGATTTTCAATTGTGTGAGATCAATGCATTGTTCAAGTGTAAACTGTAAATGTTTATACCCTAGACCAGTGGTCGGCAAACTGTGGCTCGTGAGCCACATGCGGCTCTTTGGCCCCTTGAGATTTTAGCAAAGGCCAGCTTAGGAGTATCCTAATTAAGTTAATAACAATGTACCTACCTATATAGTTTAAGTTTAAAAAATTTGGCCCTCAAAAGAAATTTCAATCATTGTACTGTTGATATTTGGCTCTGTTGACTAATGAGTTTGCCGCCACTGCCCTAGACTATCTAGAGAATAATGCCCAAATTTCTGAGCACAGCATTCAAAATCCTTCACAATCAGGTTCCCAGCTACTAGTATTACCTCATTTTCTTTTACTCCCTACAGCTCATGCTGAATTCTTTTTTTTTTTTTTTTTAATATATTTTATTGATTTTGTACAGAGAGGAAGGGAGAGAGATAGAGAGTTAGAAACATCGATGAGAGAGAGTCATCGATCAGCTGCCTCTTGCACACCCCCTACTGGGGATATGCCCACAACCAAGGTACATTCCCTTGACTGGAATCAAACCCAGGACCTTTCAGTCCCCAAGCTGATGCTCTATCCATTGAGCCAAACCAGTTTCGGCTGAAATTCTTATCATGATCCAAATGAACAAAGCCCCACAAAATGCCCAAGCCTCTGCATATTCTGCATAAAATGAAATATGCTCATTCCATTGCACCTGAAAAATGTTTACTCATAATTCAAGAGTCGGTTCAGTTGTTGGTAGTGAAATCTTTTTTAGATGGCCTCAGACAGAGTTAGCTGCCATGGGTTTTGTAGTTTTCCTTTATAGCTCTCATGTGGTAACTGGCAATTTAACTGTTAACGTGTCTTTATTTCTTCTCCAAAATATCTGGTAAATAGAACCTGGTTGAATATGTGAGTGGTTGAATAAACAAAATTTTAAATAATCAGAAAGTTATTCTCTTACAGTATAGTAGAAAATAATGTGAAGTATAATTCTTCACCCTATCTTCTGGTTTTGATTCACCTGTATGGCACATTTGCACACCTAGACTTTTGTGCATTTATAACATTTTGTACTCTTTCATGCCAGGCATTTCAGGGCAGCTTATTTGAAGTGTATTCTCTCTCTATCTCTTGTTTCCAAAGGCAGTTCCTTAAAGCTGGCAAGCATGTCCTTGTGGAATACCCTATGACGCTGTCTTGGACAGCAGCTCAGGACCTGTGGGAGCTGGCTGAGCAGAAAGGTGATGTATGTTCTATCTGTCTAGAGCACAGTCCCTCTAACTGAGTTACCATCACTAAGAATTCTGTGGTATCTTTATTCCTTTATAGTTTATCTCCATAACAGATATATTACTGATACAAAAGATTCCCCACACTCTCCACCTCACTACTGTAGGCACACTAAAGGGATATGTGGAGGGCCAATAGGGTGGAAGGATGGGTGGGAATTTGCAAACTTTTTTTTTTTTTTTGAGACTTGTCAGCTTCTTTTACTCTAATTAAAAATATGCATTAGGCCGAAACCGGTTTGGCTTAGTGGATAGAGCATCGGCCTGCAAACTGAAAGGTCCCAGGTTCGATTCCGGTCAAGGGCATGTACGTTGGTTGTGGGCACATCCCCAGTGTGGGTGTGCAAGAGGCAGCTGATCGATGATTCTCTCTCATCGATGTTTCTAACTCTCTATCCCTCTCTCTTCCTCTCTGTAAAAAGTCAATAAAATATATTTAAAAATAAAATAAAATAAAATCACACAGTATTCACACAATCCCCTCTTTTGAAAAAAAAATGCATTAGTTTCCACCTGTGGTAGTATCATGATATGATTTTAGTTTTATTCATATGGTATTTATATTGCCAATGGAAAAATGCCCAGATCAGAGTAATTAATTGTTTTCTATTCACATTTTATAGTTTTTCTTTTTCCTTAAGGGAATGCTATTTATAATATTATATGTTAGACTTCTTGATAATTACAAAAAAATAAATTGTCCTTTGGAATGAAGAGCTCTGTTGTTCCATTTCTAACCAAATGACTGCTAATATGGATCATTCTGACATTGTGAGCCATTTAAATTAAACTTTCAGTTTGCAGGAAACATAGGGATCAAGGTGACACCAAATAATAAACTCAAACAAACTAGAATGTGGAATACTCTGCAAGATAACAGGCTAAGTTTTTTCAAGAAAATAATGTCCTGCATGTAGTGAGTATCTTCCAAAGAGTACAAGACGAAAAGGAAGAAAAAAGAGTAACTTTACATAGGAGAAAATAGACAGAAACTGCCTAAGCCATGTGGTCATGATATAGTGATAAGTCATGTTAATAGCATGCACTTGATGTCATTTGATGAGAAGTGATTACTTTTTTTCTAAAACACATTACCCAGGCTAATTATAAGAAAAACATCAGAAAAATCCCAGTTGATGGTCATTCTGCAAAATACCTGACCAGTATTCTTAAACATGTCAAGGTCATTAAAAACAAGGACAGCTAGTCCAACTGGCATGGCTAAGTGGAGATCATGGCTGAATTCCTGGTCAGAGCATATGCCCAAGTGAGGAGCATGCAGGAGGCAGCTGATCAATGATTCTCTCTCATCATTAATATTTATATTTATATATCTCTCTCTTCCTCTCCATTCCTCTTTGAAATCAGTGAAAATATTTTTTAAAAGTCCCATTTGTTTATTTTTCTTTTGTTTTTCTTACCCAAGAAGATATATTATAAAAAATATTTCTATGAGAAATGTCTAAGATTTTACTACCTAGGTTTTCTTCTAGCAGTTTTTCAAGTCTAAAATTTAAGTATTTAATCTATTTTGAGTATATGCTTGTGTATTGTGTAAGAGGTTTTTCTAGTTTAATTTTGTTGTACATATCTGTCCAATTTTTTCAAAGACATTTATCCTTTGAATGCCAATTTGGGGACTGTTAAAAACAAGGAGAGCCAGAGAGTGCATTACTGCAGACAGCCAGCAGGGGGAGCAAGAGATTACAAATTCTTGAGAACAGGGACAAATCTCTTTAATTTGGAAATTATACATATAATCCCAGAGATGATATATTCCCAAGACAATTTTGGTAATCCCTCCTCCCTGGATTTTTTTTTTTTTGCCTGGCTGAGTGGTGAAACTCTCCTTTACAAAATAGTCTGTAAAGACTGGGAAATGTGCCTATTTTGTCCAATATTCAAAACTCAACAAATAATCACGAGGAAAACGAAGAGGAAAAGAGCCCAATGAAACATTTTCTGAACCCTAAGAAATGCAGACCTATGAATTATCTGAAAAAAGCATTAAAAATAACTCTATAAAGGATTAAAAGTGACTCTCTTTAAAGCATTAAAAATGACTCTCTTGGTCAGCTAAGAGAGACCACAAACAAACAAAAAATCAGGAAAATGGTACATGAGCAAAATGAAAATATATCAACAAAGAGATGTAAACTATAAAAAGTCCAAACAAATTCTGGAGCTGAAGAGCCAACAAGAAAGGTTCAACAACAACCTTGATCAACCAAGTGAAGAGAAGACCAAACTGGGATGGGTCATTTGAAATTTGATTCATAAGGACAAAAAGAAAAAACAGTGAAGAACAGTGAAGAAATCTTTAGGAATTTATGGGATACCATCAAGCAGATCAATATATGTCACAAAGGGAAAAGAGAGAAAAGGGCAGAGAGCTTATTTAACGAAATAATGGTTAAAAACTTGCAAAAATTTGACAAATGAAATGATATACAATTTCCAGAAACTTAGTGAACTTTAACTAGAATAAACCTTGAGTCTCACACCAAGACACAATATACACCTTCAAATGTCACAAATAAGGGCAGACACTTGAAAAAAAAAAAGCAAGAGAAATGTGACTCATTATATACAAGAAAGCTCCTTTAAGATTATCAGCAGAATTCTGAGCAAGAAGGATGGTCAGATGTATTCAAAGTATTGAAAGAAAAACACATGCCAAACAAGAATGCAGTATTGAGCAGAACTGTCCTTCAGAAATGAAAATAAAACTAAGGCTTTCCCAGACAAGCAAAAGCTGAGTGAATTGATCACCACTGGACCCACCCTAGAAGAATTGCTAAAGGAGGTTCCTTCAAATTAAAACAAAAGGATACTGGGCAGCAACAAGAAGGCATACAAAGTTTTAAAAAGAGCTCCCCGGTGAAGGGAAAGGTAAAGACAAGTAAATAAACCTATAAGGGAGAAAGACTGCAGAGTAATGGCAGCAGGAGACGTTGCCCTGGTTGCCCTGGTCTTCCTTTTTGAAGTTACAATAATTTGAACAGTGATAATTGAACAAAGAATCCCCTGCTGAATACAAACACATCTGAGAGGTTTGTGCATTGAAACAGCTGAAAGGGGGTGAGTGGGAGCAAGTGGGGAACGAGGGGGGGGGGCGGGAGAGGGGAGGGGGGAGAAGAGTAGAGACCTGTACCACAGATTCAGCCCTACGGGTCTTGAAAGAGGGGAGAATCAGGTTGCCATCTGTATTTCCTGCAGCCCAGAGGAGCAAAGAGATACACTGAACGTTCCTGCCAGAGTGGTTGGCACTAAACCCAGCGACCGGGGCAGAAACGAAGCACAGAGATGCCATTGCCTGGTGGCCCCTATTGTCAGGCAGAACAAGCCAGGAAGCCTGGCCAGCTCCCTTCACCCTTCCAGAGGCAGCAGCGGCCCTACAAGAAGCTACAGCCGTGAGCACTGGCTATAAAACACATCATCTGCGAACCCTAGGACTGGAGTGACAGAAGGATTTCCCCCCCTAAATGGCAGGTACATGCTGCAGTTAATCCTAGTGATGGGTGGAGGAGATACAGAGGGGAAGCAGCGGAGGTCTGGCAATTACTGTTATTGGGAGTAACAGTAACCACAAGTGCAGCAGCTGACCTCTCCCAGCTTACCACACCCCACCCTTGTGATTTCACAGGCTTGTAACACCTTAGTGCTCCACATTCTCCCACAGGGGTGGTGCCTTGAGACCAAGGTGACCTGCTTACAGAAGAGACTAGGGGATAGCGGACATGTTCAACCATTTGCAGAGATCCCAGAAGCCAGAGCTGCACAAGAGAAACAAAAAAACCTGTGCTTCAGTGCCACCTTCTGGAAAACAAGACTTCTTATTAACCTACTCGAGAAGTGACACTAAAAAAAAAAAAAAAGAAAGAAAGAAAAAAAGAAAGCAGATCTCATTCTTGTAGATGCCTAAATAAGAAGGAATCTATGACTCTATGACATACCATGAACAGCCAAGGTAATGAGGCAACTCAGAAAGAAAATGCAAATCTCTAGAAAATAATGTGTGATTTAAATGACAGAAAAGTTAAGGTTGCAGTTCTGGAAAAACTCCCAATGAAATACAAGAAAACACAGGCAGTTTAATGAACTCAGAAATAAAATAACAAACAAAAGCAGTACTTTACTAAAGACATTGAAGCTTAAAAAAAATAGAAATTTGATAAATAGTGATGAACTAGCAGGCCCAGGAAATAATGCTGACCAATTGGAGAAAAGAATTAGTGATAATGAAGAAAGAAATCTTTAAAAATTGAAGATAGTGATGGTGCAGATGGAAGAGAGAGACTGGAGAGGATATGAAAGAATTCTATGAGAACTTTCTGACTCGATCAAAGAGCCACATTAAAACAATAGGTGTACCAGAAAGAGCACAGAAGGAGAAGGGAGCAGCGGTCCTCTTCATACAGAGTTGATGAGAATTTCCCAAACCTATGGACAAAGCTAAATGCTCGAATCCAAGAAGCAAACAGAATGCCTAATTATCTCAATCCAAAAAGGCCTTCTCCAAGGCACATTATATTAAAATTGTCAAAAATTAACAACATGGATGGAGATGGAGAGCATTATGCTAAATGAAATAAACCAGGCAGAGAAAGATAAATATCACATAATCTCACTCATTTGTTGATTATAATGAACAACATAAACTGATGAACAAAAACAGATCAGAAACAAGAGAAACATTGATCAGAACGTCGAACCTCAGGGAAGGTAGGAGACGGTGGGGGTAGGGGAAGAGATCAACCAAAGGACTTATATGCATGCATATAAGCCTAATCTATGGACACAGACAATAGGGTGGCAGGGGTGTGAATTGGGGGTGGAGGGTAATGAGGGAATAAGGACACATATGTAATACCTTAATTAATAAAGAAATTAAATATAAATAAAATAAAATCATTAATAACAAAGAATTCTCAAGGCAACCAGGGAAAAGAAGAGAGTAAGCTCTAAAGGAAATCTCATAAGATTACAAACAGACAGAAACAGGATATTGCAGTTCTTTTTTAGGACAAGGTATACATTTAAATATAACTACAGTTAAAGAAAGTAAAAATACTAAATTAGACAGAGGAAAAGACAGTATCGACTGCAATTTGGAAATTAACAGCATAAATAAGGAAAATTTCTGACAAGAAAAAATATAAAAGGGGAAGGGTAAAGGTCTGAATTTGCAAACATCTCTGGAGGAAAGATACATTCAGAATAAAAAGGACTACTGTATATAGGAAACTTCTTTTGTATAAACTTAATGATGACCACACACACAAAAGTCTAAAATTAAAACACATAACTTAAAAAAAGGGGAAACAAAAAAATTGTAGAATACCACCAAACTGAGACAACAGATAGAAACACAAGGATAAAAACACAATGGGCTCTAGCCAGTTTCGCTCAATTGATTAGAGCATCGTCCTGTAGACTAAAGAGCCTGAGTTCAATTTTAGTCAAGGGCACATGCCTGAGTGGCAGGCTCGATCCCCAGTAGGCAGCCAATCAATGATTCTTTCTCCTCATTGAGATTTCTACCGTATCTCTCTTTCCCTCTCCCTTCCTCTCTGAAATCAATGAAAATATATTTTAGAAAAAGAAACAATGGAGACCCCTGCAATTATGGGGGAAAGGACAACAGGAGGTGGGCCAGCTGGGGGAATTTGGCTATGGGAGTGCACTGACCATCAGGGAGCAGCTCCTGCATTGGTCATCTGTCCCCTGGTGGTCAGTGTGCATCATAGCAACCAGAAGACCAGTCTCAGTAATTTTGGTCATTTGGTTGCTTAGGCTTTTATGTATATAGGTTACTTCCCTTGGCAGAGGATAGAATTATATTGTTCACTGCTTCAGTTGGTAGGGAGTAGAATTATAAAGATGGGAGATCTCATCTTTAAATACGAAAAGTTATTCTGAGAATTATTCTGACATATTTATCCAGGATACCATAGGAAACAGTCCCAGCGTTGATTGCTATATAGTTGACTAGTGCTTGGTTAAATGTACTTTTTGTGCTTTATGGTTCACAAATGGAATGGAAAACCTTGTCTTATGGATGCACGTATCTGTTGGTGGCCCAGGGCAGTTCGTGGCCTCCTCTTCTGCTTTCAGAAGTCTTCTAGGATTAGTGTCTCAAACCCCATCTCTCACTTCACCAGTCATAAGGGATAGCTTGTGAGGTTTAACATATCTACATGTATAAAAGCCTAAGTGACTGGCTGACTGGCAAGTAGCTATGACACACCCTGACCACTAGGGGATAGACACTCAATACAGGAGTGGAAACCACAGGCATGGAAATATGGAGCAGACTGATGAATCTCAGAGGGAGGGGAGAGGGCAAGAAGAGATTAACCAAAAATCTTATATGCATACTAGAGGTATGGATTCATGCACCGGTGGGGTCCCTCACCTGACCTGTGGGATCAGGTCGGACCAAAGCCAACTCTCCAGCATCCCTCTCGGGGTCCGGATTGTGGGAGGGCACAGGCCAGGCCGAGGGACCCCTGATGCCTCTAGTTTAATAACCAGGACACACAGTTTCTAGCACTTACATCAATAGTGAAACTGGTTACAGAGCTAGAACCCTTTGATACAAGAAACATGTCTTGTTTCTTCTACAACAGCAGCTCTGAATAGAACAAAACAAAGGCCTTGAAGAAACTGAGTAATAATTCTGAGATTCATCTAAATAACTTCACAAATGACTTAAATCTAGGCATTTTATAAATTGAGATGTCATTTTCATATGATAAAAAGCTGAGATTTTAAGTGCAGAGTTAAATGAATTCTGACAAAGTATAAGCCCATGCAATCATTACTCCAGTCAAGATATAGCACATTTTATTACCCCAGAAAGTTCCCTGGGGCTCCTTTCCTCTTAGTCCTTTGTCCCCACAGCCACATAGTGACTGTTAGCAGACCTCTCTTCAGATTACCTGTAAGCAAGTTCCCACGTTTCTTTTTTGTAGAGGGAGTGGAAGGAAGGAAGGAAGGGGAGAGAGAGAGAGAGAGAGAGAGGAGAGAGAGAGAGAGAGAGAGCGAGAGAGATTGGTCCTTTCATTGAACTCAACTAAAGAAAATATGTATATAGGTGTGTGTGTGTGTGTGTGTGTGTGTGTGTGTGTGTACGCGCACATGCATTAGTGTGTATATGTGTATACTGTGGTTGCCACATTTATCACAGTAGAGCATTGAGTGAATGATAGAAAAACAACCAAAGATGCAGTTGAAAGGTAAAAATTTTCTTAATGACCATGGATATGGAAATGAGGAGATGGAAACATAGAAATAGTGCTGGAGAGAATACAGCATGCTCTGAAACATGTTTAAACGTCCCAATGCCCAGCCTCCCCTCATGCTCATGCACATGACGGAATCACCCAGAGGAGAGAACGGCTGTTCCCTGTAAGAAGCTCTGACACTATTTATGGGCTAGGGAGTGGGGGGGAGGAATCTCACTCCCACACACCTCTCTCTGGAGGCTCCGAAGACATTCCCGCCCACTCAGTGTGTTCTGCAGTGTTTTCTGTGAGTCTGGGTTAAGCAAAGGTTGGTGAGTGTCTTCCATGGCCCAGATTTCTCTCTTTGTTTCAATGAAAGTGTAGATCATAACCACACTTTACACTTAATTACAAAACAGTTTGGGCCGAGGCTGGTTTGGCTCGGTGGATAGAGCGTCGGCCTGTGGACTCAAGGGTCCCAGGTTTGATTCCGGTCAAGGGCATGTACTTTGGTTGTGGGCACATCCCCAGTGGGGGGTGTGCAGGAGGCAGCTGATCGATGTTTCTCTCTCATCAATGTTTCTAACTATCTCTCTCCCTTCCTCTCTGTAAAAAAAAAAAATCAATAAAATATATTTTAAAAACCCCTCACAAACAGTTTGGGTTTGTTATGAAATTCCTGGCTTAGGTATGAAAAAGCCATTTGAGCAAAAATTTTAAATAGCTTTCTTTTAGAATTAAAAATATTATAAATATTAAGGTTTTATTTTCCCTCTAACCCAGATAATTTAAAAAGTCATCTGTTTTTTTTTTCCTTTCCAATTCTTTGAAATAAAGTCTAGTTCCAGCTTCTTTCCTTTAATCTCGAGAACCCCCTTTCTTCGTTTTGTGTCTTAGAATTTTATGCTACACCATTCTGATATTTCCCTGATCTCATCTTGCCTTTGAGGCAAGGGGATAGAATCTTGCTTTCTTAGATTGTTATTCCTGTTGTAAGTTTAGAATTGGCATTACCTACAGCTGGGGTGTTTGAAGGTGTGGTGGTTCCCAAATGGTTTTGGGGTCTGTGTGTCCTTCTGTGCTGGGCAAACACAGATTTATGCTCTGGGAGCCATGGCTCTACGCAAGTGATGACGATTGCCTTCCTCTTCCGTTTTTGTCGTCACAGGGAGAGTCCTGCATGAAGAACATATTGAGCTCTTGATGGAGGAGTTTGCGTTCCTGAAAAAGGAAGTGGCAGGAAAAGACCTGCTGAAAGGATCTCTTCACTTCACAGGTCAGTTTTCGGGGGATCACGGGCCACGTGGAACTGGTGGAGCCAGATGCCAGATGGTTATTTCCTAGCTCTCAGGATGAGCTTTGGTTTATTTTACTAAAGACTCTGACTGAGGGCCAGTTTAATTTATTACACACCTACAAACAATGAAAGTATCTAATTTTTCTTTTTGTTCTCAAATGAGACTGAATTGCTTGGTGTGCTTAGGTAAAAAGTGTATTAGAGCCGAAACCGGTTTGGCTCAGTGGATAGAGCATCGGCCTGCGGACTGAAAGGTCCCAGGTTCGATTCCGGTCAAGTGCATGTACCTTGGTTGCGGGCACATCCCCAGTGGGGGAATGTGCAAGAGGCAGCTGATCGATGATTCTCTCTCATCAATGTTTCTAACTCTCTGTCTCCCTCCCTTTCTCTCTGTAAAAAAAAAAAAAAAATCAATAAAATATATATATATTTTAAAAAGTGTATTAGAAATTATAAGCATTGTTAGGCCACTGTCCCAGTCTACTAAGCAGAGTTATGCCTCATGAAATCTTAACAAGCCGGACATTATTTTCTCACAGGAAGTTGAAAGTGAAACCTATCTTTTCAAAAAGGGATGGAGGGAAAAGTTCTTGGGGAGGAGAAAGGTTCTTTGTGGAGCAAATAGAACATGCTAGCCTCCCTTTTCTCCCACAAGTTACTGGACATTGACTGTGGCCACATTTGGATCTGATGTATATTTAGCTATGTACTCTGTCTTGGTGATTCTTTGGGCACATCCATGAGTAGCAGGAGCCTCCTGGAGCCGCCTCCTCTTGCCGTCGTCTTTGGATGGACACCTTGTCTTTCCAACCCTTACCTGGGCTCCCTGTCTGGCCACCTTCCCTGGGAGCTTTCATGAAAGAAATACAGTAAAACCCTGACGTAGCGTGGCAATGCTTTCCCTCTCCGTTCTCCCCCCATTTTTTCAATTGGCAAAAATGTATGCATGGACCTGACTCAAACAAACCAGTCAGAAAAATACAGATCCAATAAGATCTCACTTATGTGGAGTCTAATGATTGGTTAGGTAGTGATTTTTAAACTTATTTTTTTTTTTTTGTTTCTATTAAAAAATTTTAAAAAATATTTTATTGGCTTTTTACAGAGAGCAAGGGAGAGGGATAGAGAGTTAGAAACATCAATGAGGGAGAAATATGGATCAGCTGCCTCCTGCACACCCCCCACTAGGGATGTGCCCACAACCAAGTTACATGCCCTTGAAGGGAATCAAACCTGGGACCTTTCAGTTTGCAGGCCGACGCTCTATCCACTGAGCCAAACCGGTGTCAGCAGTTTCTATGAAAAATTTTAATGTAGGTATTATTGCAGGTGTCCCCCTTCCCCACCCCCTTTGCCCACCTCTACACCCTCTTCCCCTTCCCTTGTGCTTCATCAAACTATTGTCTGGGTCCATGGGAGATTTTATATATATATGTTCTTTAGTTAATCCCTTATCTTCTTTAGACAGTCACTCCCACCCCCACCCCAATCATGTCAGCCAGTATGTTCCATGTGTCCAAGCTTCTGATTCCATTGTGTTCCTTGGTTAATTTTGTTCCTTAGATTCCACATATTAGAGAGATCTTATAGCATTTGTCTTTCTTTGGCTTATTTGGCTTAGCATAATAATCTCCAGGTCCACCTATGCTGTCCCAAAGGATGACAGTTCCTCCTTTTATATAGCCACATTGGGTAAATGTACCACAGCTTTTTTATCCACTCATCTACTGATGGGCACTTAGGCTGTTTCTAGATCTTAACTATTGTAAACAACGCTGTTATAAACACGGAGATGCATATATTCTGATTGGTGTTTTATGATTCTTAGCATATATACCCAGAAGTGGGGTCACTGGGTCAACAGACAATTCTATTTTTAATTTTTGAGGAAACTCCATACTGTTCTCCACAGTGACTGCACCAGTCTGCATACCCACCAGCAGGGCACAAGGACTCCCTTTTCTCCACATCCTCGCCAGCACTTCTTTCTTTCTTTTTTTCTTTCTTTCTTTCTTTCTTTCTTTCTTTCTTTCTTTCTTTCTTTCTTTCTTTCTTTCTTTCTTTCTTTTTTCTTTCTTTCTTTTTTAAATCAATCTTTATTGTTCATATTATTACAAAGGTTCCTCATTTCTTCCCCCCCTCCACCAGGTTCCCACCCCACACTCCGCCCCCTCCCTACCCCCCATTGTCCTCATCCATAGGTGCACAGTTTATGTTCAGTCTCTTCCCACATCCACCACTCCCCCTTTCCCCGAGAACTGTCAGTCCACTCCCCTCCAGTATCTCCGACTCTACTACAATCAACAGCTAATATTGTTGATCAGGTTTTTCAATCTTCTTTTTTTTTTGTTGATGTTGTTTTTTCTTTTTTAATTAATAAACTTTTACCCTTCTAAGAATAAATTTTAAAATCTAATAATTTTAAACCTTGTTTTTTCTAGCACTTGTTTCTTAATTTATTGATGGTAGCCATTCTGACAGGTGTGAGGTGGTACTTCGTTGTAGTTTTTAATTTGCATCTCTCTGATGATTACTGACTTTGAGCATTTTTTTTTTCACGTCTATTGGCCAAGGGGATGTCCTCTTTGGGGAAGCGTCTATTCAGGTCCTTTGCCCATTTTTAATTGGATTGTTTGTCTTCCTGATGTTGAATTGTATACGTTCTTTATATACTTTGGAAATTAACCCCTTATTGGATGTATCCTTCATAAATATATTCTCACATATAGTGGGTTTCCTTTTCATTGTGTCAATGGTTTCTCTTGCTGGGCAGCTTTTCCTGAGTTGAGTTTATTCCTAGGTACTTTATTTTTATTGTTGTAATAGTAAATAGAGTTGTTTTCTTAGTTTCTCTTTCCGATAGTTCATTATTGGTGTATAAAAATGCCATTGATTTCTGGATGTTACTTTTGTATTCTGCAATTTTGTCGAATTTATTAGCTCTAGAAGTTTTGGGTGGAGTCTTTAGGATTTTATATATACAAAATCATGTTTTCTGCAAATGACAGCTTTACTTGCTCCTTTCCCACTTGGATGTCTTTTATTTATTCTTCTTGTCTGTTCGCTATGGCTAGGACTTCCATTATTATGTCGAATAAGTATCATGAAGGTGACATCCCTGTCTTTTTCCTGATCTTAAGGGAGATACTTTTACTTTTTGCCCATTGAGTATGATGTTGGCTATAGATTTTTCACATATTATCTTTATTATGATGAGGTATGATCCCTCTATTCCCACTTTGCTGAGAGTTTTTATCATATGTGGGGATTAGATTTTATTGAATGCTTTTCTGTATCTAATGATATGATCATGTGATTTTTATATTTTATTTTCTTTATATGACATATCACATTTATTGATGTGTGGATATAGTACTAACCTTGAATCCCCAAAATAAATCTCACTTGATAATGGTGTATTATTTTTTAGTGTAGTGCTGGATCTGACGTGCTAATATTTTTTGAGGATTTTTGCATCAATGTTCATCAGGGATATTGGCCTATAATTTTCTTTTTCCTGTAGTGTCTTCATCTGGTTTTGGTATTAGGATAATGTTGGTCTCATAAAATGATCTTGGAAGTCTCCTCTTCTCTTGGATTTTTGGAATAGTTTGAGGAGGATTGCAGTTAGTTTTTCTTTGAATGTTTGGTAAAATTCGCCCTTGGAGCTGTTTGGTCCAGGGCTTTAGTCTCCCAGAAGTTTATTGGCTAGTCCTTAGATTCCATTAATTGTTATTGGTCTACTCAGGTGTTCAGCTTCTTCATGACACAGTTTTGGAAGACTGTGTGTTTCTAGGAATTTGTCCATTTTCCCCAGCTTGTCTTTTTTTCTTGACATATTGTTATTTGTAATAGTTGTGTACAGTCATTTGGGTTTCTGTGATGTCTGTAATTACCTCTCCATTTTATTTATGATTATATTTATTTGGCTCTGATCTCTTTGCTTCTTGATGAATCTGGTTAAAGATTCATTAGTCTTTTATATCCTTTCAAATAACCAGCTCTTGGTTTCATTGATCTTTTATATTGTTGTTGTTGTTGTTGTTTTAGTTTCTATACCATTTATTTCTTTTCTGACCTTTATTATTTCCTTTCTTCTACTTGCTCTGGACTGTTCCTGGGGTGTTCTTTCCCTGCAATTTTTTCAGATGTAGGACTAGATTGTTTACTAGAGATTTTGCTTACTTGCTGAGGTAGGCCTGTAATTCTATGAACTTCCCTCTCAGGACTGCTTTTGCTGTGCCCCATAGATATTTGGGTGGTTATGTGTTCATTTTTATTTGTGTCTATGTAATTTTTTTTATTTCTTCCTTGATCTTATTGGTACTCTATTAATTAATAACATGCTATTTAACCTACATGTATTTCAATATTTTTGAGCTTTTTTTTTTATCATGCTTGAATTCTATTTCAATGCCATTGTGGTTGAAGAAGATGCTTGATTTGATTCCAATCTTCTTAAATTTATTGAGGCTTCTTTTGTGTCCTTAAGTGTGGTCTGTCTTTGAGAACGTTCCATATGCACTTGAGAATATTCTGCTCATTTGGGATGAAATGTTTTGTAGGTATCATTTAAATCCTGATTTAGTGTGTTTTTTAAGGTCGCTGTTTCCTTATTGATATTTCTATGGAAGATCTATCCGTTGATGACAGTGGGTTTAAAATCTCCTACTATGATTGTATTGCAGTTGATCTCTTCCTTAACGTCCACCAAAAGCCCTAGCCAGTTTGGCTTGATGGATAGAGTGTTGGCCTGAGAACTTTAGGATCCCAAGTTTGATTCTGGTCAAGGGTACATGCTGGGATTGTGGGCTCGATCCCCAGTAGGAGGTGTGCAAGAGGCAGCCAATCAATGATTCTCTGAGTCATCATTGATGTTTCTATCTCTCTCCCTCTGTCTTCCTCTCTGAAATTAATAAAAAACATATTTAAAAAATGTTTTAATCTACCAAAAATTATTTTAAACTTAGGTGCATATA